CTGTCCATTCAAAACCATTCTTCAAAATGTACTGACTAGTGCCAATTTGTCATGCTTATTATTAGCCGTGTACTATTATACACGTGTCAAAATAGCATAGTGAATAATTGTTTAGTTGTTAAATCCAACTTTTATTCTCTTGGGGTAATTTTTTTTGTTTTAATCTGAAAAACAGTGCACAAAACCAATGGCTTCAGCATTTTCCTTTAACACAAAGGCATCTTAGATGACGAGCTACTTTATCCGAAAGTCTCATATATATAGTTAAATTTATGGATTCCGGTCCGGCTAATAGAAAATAGAATTATTATGCGTATTTTTAATTTTTTAAAACAGGTATTAAAATAAAAAATAAGTTATATTTTGTATATTCAGCATACATTTAATTATGGAATAGACAAAGAAAATGTTCAGTTATCAACTCTATTAAAGATTACTTTGGGTTAAAAAGAAATAAAGCTTGTTTCTACTGTTCTGCCACTGAACAGTAGATCTGATGTTTAGCAGCCATGGACACACCAGAGGTTCTTTGCTTAGTTTTTTATTTTAAACATACAACTGTAAATCTTTGGCTCTTCTCATTCCTTGAGCTTTTCGTATCGGATAGGACTCTTATAATCATGAGCTCAACCTAATCTGCTTGGAGACACTCCCTTCTGTAATTACATTTGTAAATTCCAGTCATATATTTTTTCTGTTAATTAAACATGAATAAAGTATTCAAAACTCTCTGTCTCAGTCTAAAACTAAAAATTAAGATTTTAAATATTAAGCAAGTGCCTGTTCTGTTCTTCGAGGGAAAAAGAAACATCTGTGGGCCCAAGTGAACAGAATGGTAGCTTTATGAAATAGTGATGTATGAAACTTTCCAGTAGACACCATATTTGAAACAGATCATTTTCAAGCCCCACTAGGGCAGGTGACAAGTGACTAGATAGCATCTAGATTTGTAATTTAAACTATCTAAAAAGCAATGAGATCTTTTAAAAATGGCCTTTACTGATAGTAGCCACTTAATTTGCATAGTTGAAAGTCTATTGTTTTCATACTAAACGATTTAAAGACAGTGTAAATCCTTTGCAGTTGCAGGAACTTCTCTTAACCTATTATTGCATTATTTTAGTTCCATTACATATTGCTAAATAAAATAAAAGCACATCTGAACTTTTGAATATTCATTTCGTTATTGTCACTTACATGTGAACCAAGACTTGCAAGCCATGCTGACCCCTTCCTGTTAAGTTCCAGGAAGAAGCTCCTTGTCTGGTAGTAATGGCTCCCCTGGGCTAGAGGCCACAGGGCCAGGGGGTGTTTACAGGATGTGAGAGTAAGCTCTTTAGCAGTAAAGAGTTACATGTAGTTTGTGTTATCTGGAGACCTTTATTTACTTAATATAGAGTCAAAAAATTATCAAGGCAGTGGATTGACTTCCTCCATATGTGAAAGCCTTTCTCTGTTTCCTTCTATCTTGCTCTGGCGTTAATGCCTTTCTGAGTCTCTGTGATGCTTAAAGATTCAGCGCAGCTCAGAGAAAGGATGGCAAGATATAAACTGTCTTTCTTTTCCCCCCTCCCCAATTCTTCCTTTTCTATTTTCTTTTTTAGTGCCTAACTTTACAATGTTGCCCTTGTTTAATATAAATAAATGGGTGTCTTAGGGCCCAGGCAAACCATGGGTAGTGGCATAGAGAGGGTATTCAAATGCAGTTTCTCCCCACAGATTCCATTCTGCAGCAGTGAACTAATAGGAGCTGAAGTTTGAGATGAGAGGTTAGAGCCTAACATGCTACCATGATTCAGGAGTAACAGCAGCAGCTAATATATATTGAATGCTTATTATGTATCAGATTCTGTTTTGTTTTTACTTATACTCTCATTTAATCTTCACAGCAACCCTATGAGGTAGTTTATAGATGTAGGAACTAAGTAGGCCACAGAGAGAGTAAGTAATTCATTCAGTCAGTAGGAGGCAGAGCTAGGACTTAAACCCAGACAGTCCCCTTCCACAGCCCTTCGTGCTCTGCACTATAGTGAATCTAAAGTTTTTCATTTAGGAATATTTTTGTAAGTGGTATCATCACTGTCTAAAAAATTGATGTTTCTATACTGAGCAGACACATGTGAACATGTACACACACACGCACACACACACCCCCTTACCCTTCATTTGTCAAGCAGAAAGCAAGGGAGAGTTTAGTTTCTTACTCGTACAGTATATACCATTTTGATGCCAATTTGTAATAATATATGAATGTATTTGCTCAAAAAGCATTAAGAGAAAGGCTGGAACTTAGGAGAAGCGCGTTCAGATGAGCTGTGAGAAGGGTGTAGAATGACCACGTAGGAGGATGGCGGGAGCTGTGGCGGGGTGGGGGGACAGGGGAGACTGAACAAGTTGGGTGATGAGACCAGTGACCTGACGGAGGAGATGGGTCTGGGCTACAGGTGGAAGCAGAAATGCTGATTGCACAGTTTTGAAAGTAAATGAAATATGACCTCAGTTCTGAATGAGAAGTGACATGACAGGTGACATGAGGTAAAGATACCTTATTTTCTCAATTGTGAGAGAAAGTGGAGAAAGGGTGGATGGGGTGGAGGTAAGGCAACCAGAACAAGGATTATGGTTGAGATTAGTGGGCATGAAGGAAGGGGCCCTGAGGTCTGCGGGTAGAGGGTACACTAAAATAGTAAACTAGCTTGTAGAGTCAAGGAAAAGTTTGATCTATTACGGCATGGGAGAGTCGTGATTAATGCTAAATAGACAAACGGCTACTTGAGTTTTAATGCAGGCCAGTTAACATGTAAGACATATTACTGTCTTAGCTGATAGGTCATGCTCAGTGTGCCAGTTAAAGTAGGTCTTCCTTGTTTGGATGCTTGAGCAGACAACCCACCTTAAGGTGTGGAAATTCCCACAATGGCTAACCAGGCAAGCGGTCAGCCAGCCTTTCCTCAGATGATGAATATATTACCTCCTGACAGCTGCTAAGAAGCTTTTCTTGTGGCTTCTGACCACTGAACCCACCTCTCTGCTCTGGAGCCAGTCTTTCTGCGCGGCATTCAGATATGGCTCCACTCAAGCCTCCTCTCTCAAGCCTTTTGTTGCGCTTCCTCTACTCATAGAAACGGTGTACGGCACCCCCAAAGGGCGGTGCCTCCAATCTTGATGTAGATATTTTCATTTTTTTAAATAACATAGCTCTTATTATGGTCTGATTATATTTACAAGACAGTTCAAAACCAAATTGAAACCTGGTCCTTACCCTTAAGTAATTCAGAGTAAAGGAGACTGACAGTATTTACAGAAGACTTAAAGGATCATTAAAAAAAATGAGTACTATATAATAGGTTCAGTAGAAAGGGGTAAACAAGGTGAGAAGGTAAAATTGCTGCATTTCTTTATTATTAATATCAAGCTAAAATTTAAATAGAGTGAAATACACAGGTCTTAAATGTACTATTTGATGTAATCCATGCCCTAATCAAGATATAGAATGTTTCTGTGACTCACATAATTTCCTCATGTTCTCTTCCAGTCATAAGCAACCACTGTTTTGATTTGTCACCACAGATTAATTTTGCCTATATCATAAAATGCTGTAACAAATCAAATTCCACATTAGAAGTCTCTCACTGAAGAGAACAAGGTAGAGAATAAAGCCACATGCAGAGACTGTGCACCAACACGCTGTGTGCCCTTGGGCAAAAACTTAACCTGCCTGGGCCTAGTATACGGCGTTCGATGATCCTCATGATTTCTTAAGATCTAACACTCCACTTATATTTCTGAATGTAAAGGCCCCATCATCCACTCAGTACCGTGAGCCAGAAACGAACCTGGGCTTATTCCACCTTATCCTTCCATGGCCACTTGACCACTCTGTGTTGTCAGGTCTTCCTATTGGGTTAAAGGTGAGAAAGTTCGTGTTTTTATTTGGAGAGAAAGGTGTGTTAATAGGAGATATCAAAGCAGTGAATCCTGCTGGTCTGAAAGGGCTGGTCCTGTGCTCTTTCATTCCTTCTCAGATCTGACTTAACACGCTTATCCATTTAGTTCTAGAGTGGCAGCAGATTACTGTTTTTAGGAATGAAGATAATTTCTTTCTAAAGGTCTTTATGATTAGCAAGCAGATAAACAAAGTTACTGGTAAATGTTGACCGGAGTGCCCCAGAACACCAGTATTTATAGCCCTTGTTTGTTCATTGTGGTTCGCCCTGTCGATTTTTTCCTGGTTTTGGTTCTGCCTTCCAGTCTGAATCAGCACTGCTGCCTAAATTGACCATTAATCTGTATTTTTATCTTCTTCAAAACCTAGGTAAGAACCTTGATGCTGTGCATGACATCACGGTGGCATACCCTCACAACGTTCCTCAAACAGAGATGCACCTCCTCCGTGGGGACTTCCCCAAGGAGATCCACTTTCACGTCCACCGGTACCCAGTGGACACCCTCCCCGCATCCAAGGAGGACCTCGAGCTCTGGTGCCAAAAGCGGTGGGAGGAGAAGGAAGAGAGGCTGCGCTCCTTCTACCAGGGGGAGAAGAACTTTTACTTCACTGGACAGACTGTCGTTCCACCTTGCAAGTCCGAGCTCAGGGTCCTGGTGGTCAAATTGCTCTCTATACTGTACTGGACCCTGTTCAGCCCTGCAATGTGCCTGCTCATATATTTGTACAGTCTCATTAGGTGGTATTTCATAATCACCATTGTCATCTATGTACTGCAAGAGAGAATATTTGGTGGACTGGAGATTATTGAACTTGCATGTTACCGTTTTTTACACAAACAACCACATTTAAATGCAAAGAAAAATGAGTAAGATGATAAAGTTCATGGCGTAACAACCTAGGGACTATTTTGGAAATGTTGCAAGCCTTTGTAAATGAGACGCGTTTTTGCATGACCATGTCGAATATTTCTTACTACCATCATTATTTGTTAAAGATATTTTGCACTTAGTTTTGTGGGAAAATATTGCTACACGATTTTTTTTTTTTTTAAATTTCTGAATGTAATTTCAAAACACGTAGCAGGGAGCAATCACTATGAAATAACTCGGGCTAGAGTTTTCTTAAACAATCATCAGGCTGTTCACAGACAAGGTTCACACAAAATTTTCTCCAAGGCCCAATCCAATTTTCTAACAAACTTCTCAGACAAGAGACACATCTGGGGCTCCTGAGCACTGGCCCAGCTCAAGTGCTGGCACTTGACTGTCACGGTGAGGGCCCCTCCTCCTGGCTCCCTCCCTCCCAAACTCCTTTCTATGCCAATCAAACCACTGCATTTTTCCTTAAGACCAGAAAACGGAAATCTCATCAGACTGACCAAACATTTTGATAGGAAGCCCTTCACCATTCATAACATCGCGGCATTTAACCTTGCACTGACCTAAGCGTCAGGGACCACCTGTGCCCTTTCCACGTGGACAAATAGACCTGGACATGTCTCAGGGAGCAACCACAGGCTCTCCACTTAGAAACTGTAGTTTTAATTTTTAAAGATAGGAATAGTTAATTTCTTCACTTGTACTTAATCTTGCATGCTTAGTGCTGGTTTCTTTATAGCCTGTTGGCAGGTGTAGCTTTTTCTGCGTTAAAAACAGTAAAAAGTCACTTTTTTAAACGAAAGCGTAGAATATTGTTATTGTAGTTGGAAATTCTCTTTTGAAGTTGTGTCTTTTGAAATTTCTTTAAAACCTGCCCCAAAAAGGACAGTTAGTGTATTTACCACACGTGCATGGGTCTGTTGTTCTGCCATTAAAACAACAACAAACAACGCTTGTAGACAGGGCAGTAATGGTTTATCCTAAATTATTTAACCCTTGTATCCTTTATAAATTTTACTCTTAAAACCAAAATAACACAAAAATGAATCCATTTTTTTAATGCTAGCAAGGGAGGGATCTTTTTTAGTCCCAGGCTTCCTCTTTCAATAGTAAAATTTAAACCCATTTTTGACCTATGGTTCGTTTAAATATTCCTGTCATCGAGAATCAATGGAAAATCCAGCAAACCAACAGCACCTTCTGAGGCCTAAAAAGTGTGTGGTCATTATTTTCACTCTACTGAAGCTATGTACTACTTCGTTGTGTAATGAGGATGCTGGTCAGAGCAGCAGAAAACAGGCAATTAAAAGTCTTTAGCCATTAGCAAACTCGTCAGCTTTACTCCTGCCCCCAAACCAGCCTCAAAAGCTATTTATTGCTTTATGTACTCTTTGGGCACGAATGCCTCCTCCTTAACTACATCTCAGTTGCTGACTTTTACCCAACAGTGGAAACATGCATTGCTGTGAAAGGCAAGCCCACCATGAGCTGAACTTACCCAGCAGCTTCTTTCAGAAAGTGCTAGTCGCAGCAAAACGCGATTGACACATCGTCCTTGTTGGAAGAGTACTAACCAGGGCTGTGCCCAAACGCACCAATATATATATATATAGCTGCTCCCTCAAGGCTGTTTTTAATCATGCCGGGAGCTACTAATTAGTTATCATGTCCATCTGTTGTGAATCTAGCTATATAACTATAGTTTTGAAGGTGTTTTTTTTTCATTTTAATTTTTTTTTCTTAATAAAGGAGGTCTCTTATTTAGGTTTCTCTCAAACTTCCTTTGGTTATATCTGGAAGCACAGAAGTAGCCTAACAGTCAGGACTGCATTTGCCTTGGGCAAAAGAGAAAAGCTGGGTTTCCTACCCCACAAGTGTTTATAGGGTAGCCCCTCCAGCCTTCCCCCAACTTCTCTCAGCTTATTGTTCAAGGTATAACATGTCCCCTTTAACCCTCTAAAACCTGTAAAAGGGGAAATCTTTTTTTATACAAATATTTTCTTTTGATCATAAAAATAAGTTTAAGAGAAAATACAAACTTTGTTTTTTTTTTACCTACCCCAAATTCATAAACACTAAAAGTGCAGAAAAAAGGAAAAAATGTTGCCTATTTGTGTTTTCCTGCACATTTGTCTTTTTCTTCTCTTATTTAAAAAAAAAAAATTAGAGAAATATACAGTTGATGATCTGGAACTTAGAGCTATCTAAAGTTGGTGACGAAATGTCAAGCAGACATTAATTCAGCTTTAGTACTGTGGCCTCAGGAGTGTTCCCTCCACACCTTCCCACCTCATGGCTGTGGACTCAGAGCAGCTACTAGACGCACGCTTAATACCCTTTCAGTCCTTTGACGGTAAACTCAATGGACTTTAAAAGTTTACAATGCTGTATGTCCAATTGTGAAACCTTTACTGTTCAGAATCGTTTTAAATAAAGCGAGTGTGGTTTATATAGGACATGAACCATTCTACTTAAAATAGGAACCCACAAGGAAAGACAATGATTAGGTCACAAGTTCTTCCACCAGACACCTTTGAAGAAACAAGCCAAAGTAACTGACGTCCAGTAGAAGAACATAGTAAAAGACGAAAAGAAAAATAAATGTTCGAGCCCAGAATTTAAAACTCCTAATAAAATCTTTTCTTGTTTGTTACACTGTTAAAACACAGATTGGGCGGGAAATAACAGCTTCCACTTGAGTCACGTGGAAGTTAGTTACCTCCACAGCACCACGTCGGAAACCGTCCGTGGGAGCCCAGACCGAACTCTGCCGAGAGGGAGACATTCCCGTCCACTCGGACTTCGGCTCTGGCCCCGACCTCCATGCCCGCTGCCCTTCTACAGTGGCCACTCCAATGGAGGGAGCCTGTTGGTAGTAAATTGTTTACAGTTCTTTATATAAATAATGTGCTTTCAGTGCCTTAGTTATGGGTCCCTTGCTTTTTCTTGTTCCACGAATCCTGGAGTGTGTTTCTTAGGGAAAAGTCTTTTTGCCACTCACTACTGGTCACTGTGGCAAACACCACCTGTGATGACATTTGGAGAGGAGAGCTTGGTGCTGAGACAGCGGTTGCCTTAGAGCTATTATTTGTGCTCTAGAGGACAAAAACAGTCTTGTCACATGATGAGCTTCAGATTAGATATGTCCCCAAAGTTGTCTTGTAGCGACCTTAAATTTTTATTTCAGAAGAGAATCTTGGTTTTGGTAATTTATTTTTTAAAGATCATTACGTGCAAAACACCATGTTTTAAAAATAACTCACAGAATGGCCTTAGTTGTCAATGTCCACTGGTATGTTCGTGAGTTGTATAAACTGTAATATAGATCCCAGAATAAAGTGGAGTGAATTAAAGTTTTCACGTGTGTTGTTTCTGTTTTTGCAGGAATGTCTGGGTGCTACTTTGTTCTCTCACACTGTTCTAGCCTTATAATATGTAGTAGTCAGGAAGAGCTGAGCAGTTGGAATTTTCTTTCACAGATGTTTAAAAAATGTCTAAGCAAGGAGGAAGTATACTGCTCGCATAATTGAAAAAACCCAGAGGCCACAGGTGAATTCCGGATTAGCGAATGCCATTGGAATTTGATTTCCCCCCATCTCTCATTCAGGCTGGTGGGCAAGCCAGTCTCACCAGTGTGGAGTTCTAGGGGATAATTAGCACCTCCAGCTGTAAGAGATAAATGGAACTCTGCCCCCACTCCCCCCACGATCAGGGAGTTTATCTGTGAAACCAAATCTTGGACCAAAACCTGATGAATGCATATACATGTACTTATTTAGCACACAGACACACAAACAGAAATCACAAAACTGAAGAGTAGCAGGATATGCCACCCCAAAATATGACTTTAGGGGTTCAGGACACACCACCCAAAATATGCCGTGTTGGCATGTTGATGATTTTGAGCTGTAGGCACTTGGGGAAGAGCAAATGCAGGGGGACGCTTTCTCTGAACTCTGCTTATCTGCCTAGAGACAGGTCCTCCGAAAGAAACTCAATTGCCATAAATTTCCTTCCTCGGGAGTTTCATCAACCAGGGAAGATTGACTCTTGTCATAGGAAAGGAGACTAGAAGTTGACACCACACCCGGACAAACTCACAGATTGTCATACCTCCCATCTGTTCTAAGGGCCAATTGGTCTTTCCCAAAAGTCATTTACTCTCCCCTAAGTGGTCTACTTCCCCCTTCCGCTTTCCCTATTAAGATGGCATTTAAGCCTCAATTCTAAGCCACCCTGGGGAGTTACTCATTTTGAGGGGAGGGGGATTCTTCTCTGTGTACCTGAGGGATATACGTTAATAAACTTGTTTTTCTTTTGTTAATCTTTCCTTACAGGGGTCTTAGCAGAAGAGTGGAGGGAAGTTATTTCCTTCCCTACAGAACCTGTCCTTGGAAGCTCTGCAATGTTCCACTCTGTCTTCAGCCTCTCCAGTAAGAGCTTTGAAAGATTAAGTCTGCACGGATCCCACAGTGTCATTCTCAGAAACGGGCATACGGGGCCAGGAGAGCAGAAACCTCGAGAGCTGGTCTCAAGACTGGTGGGATTTCTACATTCTGTTTAGACAAGGGGCAGAGAGGAGAGCATAGTCTTCCTAGCCACCCACTGTCTACTACATTACTCATTTCTCTGATAAATTATACACAGGGCTGAATCCACCCTGCGGAGGGTGGATTTCTGATGAGGGTACTTCAGATGCCAGCCAGGAAGCCCTGGGTTGTATACAGACGCTAATCTACATATGGATGACGTGTTCATGCAGAAACATTTCTGAAGTAAATTTCAAAGAAACAATTTATGCTCTCCTGGCTATGCTGACTTGACTCTCAGGATCCACGTGGGGGCTCGGTGCCTGCAGTCTCTTCAGCCCTACATCCTCTCAGGTTCACGTCCAGTGGGAAAGAGCCAGAGAGACTGCTTCCCCCTTGGCTCAACAAAAATCCTAAATGGGGTGTCAGTGCTCATTCCTGAACCACTTGCATGCCCAGAAATACGATGGCGGTTATATCCTTGGGTTACTCGCTGTCCCCCTGAGCCAGGGGTGGAGTTTGTTCTCCTGGAGCACAGGGAAGGGATGAAG